ATGGCAGATATAGCCGTATAATTGTATTTAATGAAAATAACCGGACTTCTCCGCGGGGAGGAATGCTTGATTTCACACAAAATTTGGGCGACACGAAGAGAATTATTGTATTTTTACAAATTTAAGAAAAAAAGCTCCCTGTTCTAAATAATTGACTTATGCTCTCGGTTTGACACTTTTATTTTTTTTTTCTTTTATTCAAGTTATCTGCCAAGAATGCTGTAGAAAGAATGAAAAATCGCCTGTCATCCTGGTGTTCTATGATTGCAATTGACAAAGATGGGAACTTCGGACTGGAAACAAATGCTGCTGGAATGTTATGGGCAACCTGCAAAGGTTCTGATTTGGAATTTGGCTCTAAAAGAAAGGAATTTGTTCAAATGGAAAAACTTTAATTTAAATTTTAATATCCACTACGGACTGATTTCATATTCGGTACGGTATGAGGTTTTTTGCAAAATAACTAATTATTATTAGCAGCAGGACCTGGCAAAGTCTAATTTGCCTATTTTCAAAAAATTTTTGCCATATGATGAAAAAGCATGCTTATTTTAATATATTTATTATAAATTTCCTAGGAAATAACAATGTTTTGTTGGGATACGACATATTTCATTTCACTTACCCCCCCAGAACAACATCTCCGCCATATTTTGCAAATTTAATCGCCGTTTTTCGCCGTGCATCGCAAGCGCCTTCCAAATATTGTACTTTATATAGCACGATTCTAGTTGACTAAAGAATTATTCAACCAATTTTTGATTGGTTTTGAAGTATTGCCATGTAAATTTTTTTAAATTTTTGTGTCCCTTGACATTTCATAAATTATGTCGCCATTGCAATGTTTCGCCGCCTTTCTGAACGATAAATGCCACTTCTTGATCCCCAGCTGTATCCCCAGTTTTTTCACAGCATCGATAAACAATTGATAGTACAATAGCAGCTATCCAAAATTTAAAAGCATTTGTCCATCTTGGAAGTAAAAAACCCTTCCCTTCGTTTATCGGGGGTGAAATTTAAGTGCGAAGTATTCAAAATAATTTAAAAGTCTAGTGCACTCTCCAGGACAAATGCTCGTGGGCAACATTTCAGGGGGGGGTAAATTTCCATGCTTATATTTCTGGTTGATTTTTTTAGCTTTGTGAAAGCAAGAACATGCAATTTAAACGCGGAGACTTTTTATTTTGTTATGAGAAATATTAACAGTAAAACGGACAAATTTTACTCGGGTTGTTGACTGATTGTGGTTGTGAACAAATGTATGCTTGAATTTCATTCCCCATAAACGAAGGGAGGTTTTTTCTTCCAAGTTGGACCAATTCTTTTAAATTTTGGATAGCTGTTCTCTGATTCTCCGTCTTAAAACATAACTATGTCCTTGCCATTTAAAAATGACATGACACTGTTCATGTCTCAAATATTAAAAACACTTCAATACAGTGTAAAAACAAAACTTGGACATTTTAATCATCCTATAAGGCTGTAAACATGTTCAAACAAAGCCTAAGCTATCGTGAACGCGAATCTCTGTGTCTAAAGACCAATCGGAACACTGAAAAAGAGAGATTCAAGAGCTGCAGACATTTAAAAAATTAATTATGTTTGCTTCCACTATCCAACCATTTATGACGAATATCAATAAGTGGTACCGGAAGCGGCATTTTTCCCCGATGAAGCAATTACAGCCGAAACCCCTCGCGAATATGTGTCACAGCAAGAAGATGTCCTGTCGCCAAAGAAAGATGCCCTGTCGCCCATGATAGCCACTTAGCGTATGTGCGTACGTACACGTACGTACACTAAATTCAATCGGTCGGCACCACCTCATCAATCTCGTTTAGCAATAATTCGCTCGTCCAAGACATTCTTCCCTCTTGCCTAGAACCATTCAACTAAAAACGTTTTAAAAAAGAACAAATGCGTACGTATGCATACGTACGCGTACGTACGCACGACGCCTTTTAGAACAAATGCGTAGGTGCACACTCCCCATAAAAACAAATCATACAAAAATTATCACTGACTCAACATCCGGTGTCTACACGGGACACCTGCCCGATCAAAAACCAAGCTGCAACTTTATCTGCTCGTTCGGAAAAAATAAGACAATGATAATAATAAAACAAAATAAACAAGAAAAATCCATGTCAATTCTAGCAATGGGGCGACATACCACCATTAAACAAGCCAATGTGTCATCACCCCTATCAATGCGCTGTCCGAAAAGTAAAAAAGGAAGGCATGGATAAGGATTTCCAGGAAAAATTAAACCCACTCGGAAACGGCATTAATAATAATTATTACTGTTTGCTAGCATCCCCGAACTGAAAATGTTTTAGACATTTTTTAAAAATTATTATTTTATTATTATGCATGAATATTTACAAACAGGATATAAAACACTTCAGTAAAAAATTACTGCTATTACCGTGTGTCCTGTCAAGTTAGAACTAATTAAACTATTTTTAAATTAAGTAGAATATTACTGATTGTAAAACTACATATAAAAAGGTAATATGTATGCATGCTTAGATCATCCATAAAAAGATAAAATACTAACTACTAATAACAAGTAAAAAAGTTTTACTTTATTTCTAAAAGCAGGAAAAGATTCCAATCGCCTTATCTCATTTGGCAAGGTATTATAAATTTTAACACCCATAGAGAAAAATCCTGATTTGGCAAGTTTCAGCTTTGTTTTCGGAATACAAAGTAAAGTCCCATTATTCCTCGTGACTTTTTCATGCACCTTAAGAGTAAAGTAATCCGCGAAATGTTCATTAGTTTCCCCTAACATACATTTTTTAACAATCAACACAGTGTGTTTATAAATTTCGTTTAGGATACTAGGTTTTTTCTCCCCAAGAATCCTTTCCACCCTTCGATCTATAGATTCGAGCATCGTTAGTTGAGTATTGGAATAGTTAAGGTTTACAGTGCAGTTGAATAAAGCTGTTGGTAAAATTATTCCCTGATAGATCTTCCCCAGACTTTTCCGAGTTAAGCACGGCTTCAAGGAAGAAAGTAACCATAACTTCGACGATAATTTCTTATAGGTTTTTCTAAAATTTTCAGCCATATTTAATGTTTTGTCTAGGGTAGTTCCAAGATATGTGTATGTAGTCGTTGAATTTATTTTTGTATCTTGGTAACGTAGGTCTAGTTCATCTGGACAACTGCTTAGTCTTTTCGCTGTACCAAATAGCATTGACTCGGTTTTGTTCTTCTTTAAATTAATAATTAGTTCATTGTCCGTAAAATATATATTTAAATTCTTTAAATCAGCGTTTAGCTTGCTCTCGATGACGGAAAATGATGGGTCTGCCACATAAAGAACCGTTTCTTCCAGGTCATTAAAATATAATAGGAATAATACTGGTCCCAGGATTGATCCTTGCGGCACACCACATGTTAAGGGGAATTCATCTGACAATGTGTTTTTGTAATTACACACTTGCTTTCGTTGAAATAAGTAGTCAGAAAACCATTTATATTCTAAACCCACAATACCATAACTTTCGAGTTTCGCTAGTAATATACTATGGGATAGTGTGTCGAAAGCTTTGGAAAGATCAACAAATATTGCCCCTACAAGATTCCCCGTATTCGCTTTCTTTCGAATGTTGTCGGTGAACAAAACCGTTGCATGTTCTGTAGATCTCTTTTTACGGTAGCCAAATTGATATTTAGATAACAAGTGATTGCTTTCGAGGAATTTGGTTAACTGCTTATTTGCTGCACGTTCCAAGATTTTGGATAAGATCGGCAACACTGAAACAGGTCGATAGTTGTCGAACAGTGATGTTGATCCACTCTTGTGGATAGGCGTCACCTTGGCAATTATCCACTCTGAGGGCACTACACCAGTACGTAAAAACAAGTTTATAATATACGATAATGGCTTCGCCAATTCACTTGCTGCATCCTTCAACATACCTGGTGGAATATTATCATGTCCAGCAGATTTTCCTCGTTTAAGAGCCATTAGCTGCTTCTCAACAAAGATTTTGCTTACATTAAACCTATGTTGTCTTTAATATTTTTTACATTATATATTTTTCAAAACAAACTTTGTCGATAATTGTCGTCATAAATATATTTTTTAAAAAAAAAGCACTTCGTTTACTTCCCGGATGTAGTCCCAAGCGTTTTCCGTTCATTTCCAAATACACATCTGACTTCACGCGTGGAGCCCACGCAAGATACGAAAAATGCTGACGCTGCGTGTTTTTTTACCTTGAACAGGGAAGTTTTATATAAAATCAAAGATAGTAAAGAGGAACTTTTATACGAAGTCAAAGGACAGTTTACAGGATAGTTTGTTTGTTATAATTTTAAAAAATTTTAATCAGAAAATTTCATTTTTGAAATAGAAATGAGTTGTGCATGCATGTACCCCAAGTTCAATTAGCCATTTCCCAATCGAGCAGGGGACTGTGTCTAGTCGCGAACCGCAACGCATCTATTGACTGTTTGAAAGTGCAGGAAATATAAGTCTGAAATTATTTGCCCCTCCAAACAGTCGATAGATGCTTTGAGGTTCGCGACTAGACCCGGCTAGTATCCTGCTCGATTGGGAATAGCTAATTTCAAGTATATAATACACTCGTATTTTTACAAGATCAATGGCAATGTGGTCCAAGGAATTTGAATTTTTCAATGTCCATTTATTTGAAAATATCAGCTACTCATAACAGACATATATACCTACAGAACAGATAGGCATTACAATATTAGTTTAAAATACGAAACAAAAACAAACAGCTTTTATAACAACGAATGTGTACAAAAATCTCAAAATTTACCAAAAATAAACCAACCATTTAATAATACATGGAAAATCGGGTTAATTCTTGGAACGACAAAGAAATGCAAATGTGTCAAGATATTTGAAATTTTCACAGCATGCATGAGTTAAAAAATGCTTTTGTACGAATCAGTTATCCCCATATAAGGAAGTAGGAAGTGTTTTGAACAAAATAAACATTGCGACGTGTCAAGGAATTCTGACACCGTATTATTGACAGACTAAAGATAAACTTGCAGGTGCAAATTCGTCACAATTCTTCAACTTTGGTAAGCTTTATCTAATTAACTTTTAACCGTTCAAGCTGCATGATCTGTCACACGCAGTCAATAAAAAGTTTTAGATAGACGTTTACGGGAAACTGCGGGGTAAAATACCCGTCATACAAAAATACATTATATAGCTGACTACGTGGCTACGTAGATACCTGCACTCTAGGATATTTGAAAGTTAAGTTAAAGTCTTTCACGTGGTTGTTTTATACGGCGTTGAATAATATAAGTTAGCAAATCGCGTTTGGTAATTTCTGTTATCACAGACGCTAGATGGTTGAGGCTAGGGCAAACAGCTAGGAAAGGAATTAAACTCTTCATAAGAGGGTAAGAGGATGTCTTCAACACATCCGTTTTGGTATTTATTTTCCACTTACATACGCGTTTTTTACTGGCGGAAAACTTTAAATGCTTCCAAATTGTTAATATTTAACAAATGGTTCAACAAATGCGCACAAAATATACTGAAACTAAGTTCTTTCGATATATTCACCTATATTTACGATTTAGATTATTTAGACTTTTACGTCCGTGTACGTGTGTATGAAAAACACGTAAGTGAAAAGCAGCTCTTACAGTCGAGCTTAACGTATTGTGTAGTTTCTAACTTGTATTATACAGCGACATATAAACCTCGATCATAATAAGCAATTTTGTGGTAATTATTTTGTCAGTAGTTTTACACTTTTTTATTGCACTTTTTTTTTCTCACACACATGCTCAAACATATATAATTGTAAGAAAGTTAAGGCAAAAATTATTCTAAGGTGCGGTGATAGATTTTGTGCTGTGATGAAATGCGATAGTTATCGTTTGATATCAAGTATGCATAAATTATGCACCAATTATGGTGAAATTTGACCGCTAGTCCATAACGTAAATTTTAACTTGTAGAATCAACACATGAACTCATGTTGATTGAGGGCATTGAAAGCTTCTCTGCATGAAACAACGTTGTCTTAATACATTTTTACAATTTCATCTGTGGAGTGATAAACTACGATTAGCTCGTAACAAGTCATAAACAGGGTTCATTTTGTCTCTTCGAATAAGCAGTTTTTCTCAAGCCACGAAGAGATCTTTCACTTTCGATTTTCAAAATAAATCATCAAAATAAAATTGCAATCAACTTAAAATTGTTGACGAAGTTGACGAAATACATATTATTAATTTCTTTCTTTTAGATCTTGTGTTGGAGATATGGCAGGAAATTCTGAACCATCAAAAGTATCAGAAGGTATCATATACTCGTACACACTTCAAAAATCGTACTAACCAAGGTTCTACCTTTCGTTCTACCCTTACTATACCCGAGTCTATCTTTTAATATTTTCAGTCAGCATTTCTCATAGAATTCAAACGGTTGAGATGTAATTGTTGTGGGCTTGAGAAGTGATACCTTTAGAGCGTTTAATTGGTTGATGACGATCACGTAATATTGAATAGAAAGTCCCATTTCCCAAGAGTACAATGGTGCGTTCGAAATGCAATTGTACTATACATTTTGTTCCATTGCACTCTTAATGCTTTCAGTAAATACCATCCATCAAAATGTTTCTCGCACATATGGTTATTGACCCATACAGTATGTTTTTTAAAAAAATTATATTTTTGAAACGAGACAGTCTAATTAGGTATGATATAAACCAAATAATGAATGTTTTCATTCGTGCAATGGTAAAATATTTTCACTTGGTGAAAGATGGAACATTCCATCTTTCACCTCGTGAAAATATTTTTACTATTGCACTCATAAACATTCATTATTTGTATATTATTTGAGGGGGACCATATTCATATAATCTGTTATACCAAGGCGATTTCCATTGAAAGTGAAATAGCTTGAAATTGTTTTTAAAGAAATTATCCAGGCATAGCAGAATATATGAATACACCTAAAGACGCCGAGCGATTTCGAAATGGGCTGTTCTGTTACTCTCATGAACATAAGACCAAGTCACAGTATTGTGGTAATTTGTGATCAAGTAACTAACATTAACCAAACAACCCTTAGCACAAGCAATGCGAGGTTAATGCCTAGCGGGCATCTTGTTTATTCTGAATTACCCTGAATCCGCTAATGTTAAAGATACAGCCCCGCATTGGGGCTTTTCAGTTACAATTATACAAAGTGATACTTTCGAAATGGATGATATAAAATCCAATTATACATAAATTATAATGAATTAAGGCTAAAATTTACTACACAGGGTATCCCAAAAAACCCAAAACTATTGAAATCACCTGAAAATTTGAATAATTTGTTCGCGAATTTTCGCCTACAACAATTTAAAATTTAATATTTGTTATCCACATACTTTATGTAAAGCATATTGGTACTAAAAATTGGTTTTGAAGCTTGAGATATTACCGGATGATTTCATTTCAGTGGAAAGGTCATTCCAAGCCTGAACCCCCCTTTGTCTGATAAACCTTTTCCTAGACAACCCCAAACTTGCGAGTGTGGTTGAATAATTGATGGATATATATTATAATTAGTGATCTATAATCCACTATTTCTTGAAGATGTCTTAGGATGCTGAGGCCTGCATTTAGCTTTCTAGTGATTTGGTTCACTTGGGCATTCCATGAGAATTTTTCGTCAATCTTTACACCAAGTGATTTGGTTTCTTTAACTCTATCTATTTTTCTATGTATGCGAGGATGTGCATCAATTTGGTTAATTCTTCTATTGCTACCTACTATCATGTGTTCTGTTTTAGAGTGATTTAGGGAAAGTTGGTTAGCTGACATCCTAGATGATACTTTTTCCAAGTCCTGATTAAGATTGTCTACAATCTCATTAATGTTTTCAATAGATGTATCGATTTGGGTGTCATTGGAAAACATACTATAGCTCTTGTTCTCTCTAAGCATTGAGGCAAGTCGTATATTAGAAAAAAGCTTTTTTTAAGTCTAAGAATACGATACCGCTTAGTTTGTCGACGTCGATAATTTGATATCATCTATTGGTGATGTCCAGCAATGCAGTAACCGTATAGAATGGCATGGTGTGAATCCATGCTGAGAATTAGTTTACCAGTTTGAAGATATCAAGTAATCATAGATCTGGTTGTGTATCAGCTTCACCATAATTCGTGCTAAGATTGAGATGAAAGATATAGGCCTATAATTAGAGGATACTTGTGGGTCCCAACAGGATGCTTAAGCATTCAAACTCTAGCTATTACATTGCTATGGACGATTTCAATGGTTTTGGGTTTTTTGGGGACACCCTGTATATTAACTATAACATGCGTTATGATAAAAACCTGTTAAGCAAAATACTCTTTAATTCATATTTAAATTCACAAAATGTCTTACATGCTTTATGTTCTGGGCATAAATCGTTTAATAACTTAATTAATGTTGATGGTATAAATACGGAGTAACTTTTATTTAGCCTCAAATATATATTATTTTGCTTTGTGTGTGGATCGGAACTTTTAACATTGTTAAAATAGTAGAAGTTTAGTGATCGACATCTCAGGGATATACAGACCTGGGATTTTTAATTTGCTGAAAACGGCATAAAAATTTTGCTTATACGAAATGGTGCAAAAGATAAGATAGTGAATAACTTTCAGTGGGTATTCATTTCTAAAGAATATTTTTACATAAAAATGATCAACTAATGCAATTGCTTAGAGTTTTAGTAATTTATTGTGACTTACCCCGAATGCGCCACTGATGATAAAGGACGTGTGCATGATATTGTTTTTTCATTTTTGTGTAATTCTGTTTTAAAGGAAAAAAAGAAACGAATCCCGCAATTATCCTGCAATGTGGAGCATACTATGTTGTAGTATTTCAAGAACGAGAAGAAAAACTGCTGCACACATTGAAAAATGCTGCAAAGACTGGATATGAAAAAATGATTGTAAGTATAATGAAACATCTACATAATTATGTTAATGTAAATGTGGCGCATGCCGTATTCGTTCAAAGGGACTGCATGGTTGGGTTTCTTGAAGTATACTTCGGAATTTTAACATTTCCTTAGAGTGGAGGAACCGCAGTGGATGCCGTTGAAGAGGCTGTTCGTATTTTGGAGGATGATCAGTATTTTAATGCTGGTCGTGGATCATTAGTTAACGTTGAAGGAGACGTAGAATGTGATGCAATGATTATGGATGGAAACACCATGAACATAGGTATGTGTAAGCGTAAAATATGCGCTTTCATACTGCAAAGTTAAATATTTATGTAAAATACCATGCAATATCCGTGTAGCCAAGGGGACTGCAAGAACGATAACTGTGGGGCGGAGGCAGATACTTATATTTTATTGTTCATATGCCGTAAGAAAATTTGATTTCAAAGGAGGTGATAATGCAGTACACGAATGTATGAATATTGCCTCTCTTCAAATTATTGTTCTTGCGGCGCACTTGCACAAAATAACATCCTTTGAAGATCGAACTTTATTGAACAACCTTATAAGATATGGACATATAGGCGCAGGCCGCAGGGTACCTATTGAAAACATTTGAATTCATGTTTCTTAATATAGATGCGTAATAAATTGCGTAATATTTTCTTGTTAAAAGAAGAATTTTTAATATATTCACGTTCGGTATTCTGTTCTGTATTCTGGTCGGTAAAAACAATAAGGTAAACACCTTAAACTTTTTGGTCTGTAGTCGTTGATACGTCGATTTCAGTCGTAGCTGTCAACTCTGGCGTCATGATACTGAACGGTTTCTAATGTTAATTAAATAGAAAACTTTAAATACGCGTACATATAATTATATATTTAATGACATGCTCATTGAGAACACCTGTCTGTAGTCTGATCTTTCCCAAGACTAATAACAACAGCGTCTTCATTCCACTTAATATATAAGTTATATCAAAGAGCTTAATAATTTATTCTTAAAGTATAATTGTTTTAGGTGCAGTCATGGCTGCCAAACATTTCTTCAATCCCGTTAAAATATGCAGGAAAATTATGGAAGAGTCACATCATTGTGCTTTCATTGGAGAAGGGGCACTGAAATTCGCGCAGGATAAAGGCTTTAACGATCTGATTTGTGATCCTGCAGAAATTATTGTTAATGAAATCAAGGAAAAAATGATGACAATGGACATTTCAGATTTTGCCAGTCGATATTTTCCGCCCGGAACTTCGTCTCCAGAACAAAGTTTGCCATTTGACACCGTTTCAGCGGTTGCTATGGATAGTGATGGTCATTTTGCTTGCGCCACATCGACAGGTTGTACTTTAAAATCCTGTTGTCATAACGTCTTTAATGGGAACTTCTTCAGTGCTTATAGTTTTCTGTTCCCTTTCAGTGGCTTAGGAAGCAAAAGGCACGATGATTGGGGGGAGCGGACACAAATTCATTTGATATGCGTGTTAACTGACTGAAAAGACAATCGATTTGCAGACACAACATGAATATATGAATATGTGTTCCCCCAATTTTCATACACAGTTCTCTTTATAATTAGTCAATCACCTTTATGACTTTGCTTATTTAACACTTCAAGGTGGAGTACTCAGGAAAAGTAAAGGTCGTATTGGGGATGCTCCGCTGGTAGGCTGCGGAGCTTATGCAAATGAATTTGGTGCTGCAGCATCAAGTGGAAATGGAGAATCAATAATGAAGATGAACTTAGCACGAGAAGTTGTTTTTAACATGGAACAAGGCCAGAATGCCTCGGTTAGGATTCACCATTAAAATTTTTAAACATTAATATAATTTTGGTATTATTGCATTTATTAATTTTGCGTGAGGTGCTTTCGTCACTCGACCACGTTTTGTAATATTCGGTACAAAATTTATCTATGATCAAGGCACTCTTTCATATTGAAAAAGAATGAAAATCAGTCCATTTCAAAGTCCAAATTTGGTGCATGGTATCCCCGCTCGTATAATTATGTGACACACTAAAACAGAGAACATCAAAAAATATGCTAAGTTATAAAATAACTAATCGTCAGCAATTTCATTGCCGCGGTTTTTGTCATTTTAACTTACAACCACAACTCGCAAAAGGTGCAATTAATGCTCAAATCGTGTCCTTAGCCAACGAAATTGCAGTATTTGCTATTGATTATGGCAGATATAGCCGTATAATTTTATTTAATGAAAATAACTGGACTTCTCCGCGGGAAGGAATGCTTGATTTCACACAAAATTTTGGCGACACGAAGAGAATTATTGTATTTTTACAAATTTAAGAAAAAAAGCTCCCTGTTCTAAATAATTGACTCATGCTCTCGGTTTGACACCTTTATTTTTTTTTCTTTTATCAAGTTATCTGCAAAGAATGCTGTAGAAAGAATGAAAAATCGCCTGTCATCCTGGTGTTCTATGATTGCAATTGACAAAGATGGGAACTTCGGAGTGGAAACAAACGCTGCTGGAATGTTATGGGCAACCTGCAAAGGTTCTGATTTGGAATTTGGCTCTAAGAGAAAGGAATTTGTTAAATTCAAAAAACTTTAATTTAAATTTCAATATCCAGTACGCACTGATTTCATATTCTGTACGGTATGAGGTGTTTTGCAAAATACCTAATTTTTATTTGCAGCGTACCTAGAAATTTATGTATAATTAGAATTCTACAGTCAGTCATTGCAAAAAGTATCTAAGTAATATACAAAACTGAGAAAAACTTCAAATACAGTACTGTACAGAAATAACCTCAGTAACACTGCGCTTGCGGTTTGGCTGCGGTATACGTTTTCTTGGCCGCGGTTCGACCGCGATCAGACCGAGGTTTGACCCAGGTTAACCGCAGTTTTTGTTACGTTATTTCTGGGCAGCACTGTACTTTTTACTGCATCGGTTATCTTGTGTCAATTTTTTTACTTTTCTATTTAAATTTCCACTAATCGAAAATGTCATTTCATTAATAAAACAATTTTATTACTGTGCCATTGTTATCACCTCCTACAAAAATCTGTCTCAAAACCTATAGTACGTTCTTCACACATGTTTACTCTGTGTGAAGATTAAAATGTCACATTTATCCGGCGTGTTCGTCCACTGAAAACGGAATAATTACTGTTTCAATATAGCGGCCTTATTGTATGGTCTTGCATGGTCAGAATTGCTAAGAAGCCGTTTCTATTCTCATCAAACTCCGCATGTTATTTTAATATCACTGAAGGTACTCAAGATTTAAAAAGATTCTCACATAATGGCGTCAATCTTGAATTATGAACAAGAAAATGGTATAAGCCTTCGCCCGAGATCAGCCTTAGTGATATTGCTCATGCTATCAGAGGATATTGAGACATGCCCAGGTCCTTGCCTTAAATGTAACTGCTGTTCTAAGACCATTAGAAAGAATCAAATAGCTGGATGTTACTCAATCTATGAAAATAAGCATCACATAAAATGCTTACCGGACATGGTTGATAGACAAGGTAAGGAGAAATTCTACTGCCCAAGCTATGTGCCCATTGAAGACGATCCGTCTAATACCACTGGTATCTTTGAGAATCTCAACGATCTTCTTAGAAATAAAGGTTTAAAGGTATTGCATTAAAATGCGAATGGCTTAGTGAAAAATATCGAACATAGTCGATTAATGCTTCAAGACACAAACAAAAATATACTGATATACGGTGTTACAGAATCACATCTGCACAAGTCCACAAGAATATACAAGACGCTGAAGTTGCTATTAGCGGTTATCATTTCGTCAGGAAAGATCGTGTTAAAGGCCCTCGTGGTGGAGTTGGTTGCTGTATTAGAGATAATATTAAATGGAAAAGGAGATCAGATTTAGAAGACCAATCGGTTGAGGCACTTTGGATTGAGATTTTCCTTCAGAGTTCCAAATCCATTTTGTTGTGCATGATTTATCGTCCTCCCAACTCGTCAAAACGTCTAGAGGCAAATTTTGAGAGTAATTTTGAAGAGATGAATAGCTTAGCGGCCGAAGAGACAAACGAAACTATTATCATTGGGGACCTAAACTGAAACTATCTCAACAATGCAGACCACATATCAATAAACTCTATGGTCTTAAAAAAGCAAATTAAAGATGAAAACAACGTACAGTCTAGTTGGAACTCATTCAAACGAACCTTGACGACCATTATTATAAATCGACATGCCCCTTTGAAAGAGAAGAAAGTAAAAGGCCGTGACTGTGCTTGGTTAACTCATGAAATAAAAGTAAAAATGAATACGCGAGATTATTAATTTTGCTGAAGATAACTAGAAAGGGATCAGATAGCTAAAGAAATGCTACCCAACACCAAGTAAGACGCAGGCCCCTTACATGCTCCGTTACGATCAAGGACAACACATATTCCGGATAATAATTATACGGTCGCAAATACATTTTGCAATTTTTCACTGTAATCGGTGATCCTGTGATTGTGATTGTGATTGTGATTGTGATTGTGATTGTGATTGTGATTGTGATTGTGATTGTGATTGTGATTGTGATTGTGATTGTGATTGTGATTGTGATTGTGATTGTGATTGTGATTGTGATTGTGATTGTGATTGTGATTGTGATTGTGAGCCTGATAAATTTATGTTTACGACAGATAATTTTTCCCAATGCTGAGAAATTGGTGAATGCAGCAGTTGTTCCGAAGTTTAGATACATGTCCAAATGTAAATATTTTTTTCTAAAGCATACTTGCATACGATCGGTCTATTATATACCACTTGTCAAAGAAAAAGCAAACTACAAGGTAAACAACGAAATATCTATTCATAAAAGACACAATTTAAAATGGGCAAACAGTCTAAAGGTCGAAAGCAATATTATTTTGACTCTTGTTTTCACTTATAATACAAATGCACCTTATAACTATCTGCTGGTTTGAAGGTAATATCTAAATAATGTTCTCAAGCGCTATCGTTTGGTCGTATTCCGGGGTCTTTATCCCAAATACTTGAAGAGACATTTAAGTTTTGCTTCTTCCGACAACAGCAAATTTAAAAGAAACACAGTTTCACCCCGATCGTTTCGCTCGGATACCGTGTCTCCATCCCTATCAATCGACGCACAGCAGGCAAATTATGGTGTAATAGCGTGGAATTATAATTATGTACTATTTAACAATTAGTCGCCGAAGGCGAGGTGATTACAAGCCTATATTCACTGAGCCGAAGGCGAAGTGAATATAGGCTTGCAATCACCGAGCCTGAGGCGACTAATTGTTTTAGTATAATTTCAGTATTGAAAAAGTTTTATTTACAAATACAACTGATTTATGTTCTCAATTTCTGCTTCCGAAATTTTTCCAAAACGATTTTGAGTATTTTCAGCCATGTTTTTTGGGGAAAAGCAATAGTTACTGCTCAGACTGCTCTGAGCAGTAACTATTGCCTCATAGTTACTGCCAAGGGAGCCAATCAGAATGCTCAAAGGTCATTTTTCAATACTGAAATTATACTAATGTGAGTTAGTTATATCGCAATGACTCCGTTAGAACGTTAACTTTTATTATTACAAAAAGTTGATCAAAATCATATGGCTCCACGTTAATTACTGCTCCATAAAATTCCCAAACTAACTGACCCATTGTTTTCAAAGTCTTATGGTGTTAAACCTCATTTGATTGATATAATTTACAACAATTCTTAAACGTAGCATTTATTTAAAGGAATTCTCGCGTGACATTGTCGCAATGTTGCCATCCTTATGACTGAGGTCCTATATATGTATAACGATGCTACGTGCCCACATAAATTACTGAAAAATAATCATATACATATGTCCCTAACAACATTTGAAATTTTTTGTTCTAGATGTCTCTGGCCGTACTAGTAGTGGCAAAGACCCGGGCCAACATTTCATTTTAAAGAGATATTAAGGCCCTGTCATACGGTGCAATATTTTTTGCAACTTCCAATTCAATTCTTTTTCGAGATGGAAAATTTGAACTACCGAACTTTTTTGTTTTTTACACTAATATTTTGATTTTAACATTTTGAGTCTAACAGACTCCTCACTAATTTACATCTCTTAAAAGTAGAATTACATTGCCTTTCGTGAATATAATAAGCAAATTAATCATTTATATTTTTTTCAACAGTTTGTGTTGTTCTTATTTCAATCCACGGCTGTCACTAAATCTTTAACGCCGTTTTCAAGAACCGCATCTTACAATACTCATACACCTGATCAAACTCAGGATTCCTTGTCTTGCTTTTCCTCGATGCCATCCCCATTATCATCACCACCTGCATTCCCAATTTCACATTGATCTTCTGTCTCATCTTTATCAGCAGGCAATCGCTCAAATTCATTTACCTTTTCTGAAAGCTTGATGTACAACAGAAATATCAGGAGCACGAAAGAAGTCATTGCGGCATACAGAAGTAACGTGTATCGCGTTCCAATCGCATGAAAAAGTACGCCAAGCAACGTCGCACCAAAGTCGCAGCCAAACATGAAGAACATCTCTAACAATCCTGTAAATGATCAGAGATACCATAAGACTCAAAATAAAGAGCGGAATTAAATCATTATAGGTTAATTATGATTGCAAACTTTTCCCAGTATTTTTGTGTACTTTTCTAGCCTTTTTAGTTTTTTCAGGCCTGTTTTGTTTGCATCCATATAGCTTTCTGCATGCCATTTAGCTTTTTCGCAAATTATTAAAGAAAAATGTACTCCTGTCAACCAATCATCTGTCATCATTTAATAATATAATCACGCTAATAATAATAGCTGTAATCATGAAGCCATGAGTGTGTATGCCAAGAAACAGCTGAACTTGCCATAAAAGCAGAGTTTTAGACATTGGGTAGTATTTCTTTGAATAATTAAAATTTTTAAAGATGATGTAAATCCGTTCTGCGCATATATTCTGCGCATAACAATGTTTGTTTACGTTTGTTATATAATCTTTACATGACGTATGTGTCTATTCTACTGTCTATTGACTCTTGAAGTACTCATTTCAGCACGATATGCGCAGAACGGACTTTACATCATCTTTAATGTTACATGCAGCATAACCCTAAAGTATGCAACATGAGGGAAACTCAAATTCGGCTACGAAAATCATAGTACACGCTTATACATATATTTTTGCGATCTCTCTATAATGGTATACCATGATAATTAAATACTTCATTATTTTTAAAATTAATATTCCCCGAGCCGGTGCTCCGCACCGTGGGAGGGTACTAATTCCGCCCGGAGATTAGGAATTACACCCGGGACCCGGGAGAACATAGCGGAATCCAAAGTCGCCTAAATTTGGACCATGGACGTTCAATGGTCATGGTACTTGTGCGCACGCGTGACGTAAATTTGAACGAGTGAAGACTGGTAATTATCAACTTGCTGATTGGCTAAGACGAAACGTTTGTGTTTCAGTGAAAAACGTCAGCAATTCAACTGTCCCTTTGCAAACTATTTTTTTAAAAAATGTTTCGAAAACACACTATGAAATGTGGAATCAAATAACAGATAAAACACTGGGAAGAGTTTAAAATATTATTACAATTGGAGGAATTAGCGGTGAAAAGGAACAACTCGATTATAATCCTTGAAATGGTAGGAGTCTATTTTGTTTATTTCGAGGTTCATTTCGTGTTTGCTGTACGAATAAATTTTATGACCTTGGTACAGTATGTCGTTTTGCTCGGTTTTGCGAAGACGTGACCGACTATTTAAGGCTTTACATCATCGTTTTAACTTCCAAAAGAGTCCTTAAAAGTGCAATTCGGAGTTTTAATATAACAAATATCACTTTAAAGGTTTATATATAGTCGACTCCAATCACTGCATGAATTTAACAATCGAGAAACAACATTCGACGTTCTTTATATTATTTATATGGTTACTATCGTATCGTGGTTATTTATATTATTTGGGCTGTTTTGATGTTTTGAAGGTTTAGCTATAATGAAGTATTAACTCTCACTTAAACTGTGAAAGTCTATAACTTAATGCAACGGAAGCAGCAGGAAAACGGGTGATTTCACATCACCTTTACGACTGTGTTTGTTTCCGAAATATTTGAAACATCAGCTATCGGCTTTACATTTAGGACATTTCATAATATTGAAGGTTAGGTCTGGCTAGCTCAGGAAATATTTTGCTTCGTTTGAAATAGAGAGGGGTTGCTGCATGCATGTATTTCTAGTATAAACTTAATAGGCAAGATTATTAAAACGAGAATCAGAGGCGCCAATATTGCTATAATCTGTTTAAACCACATTATCACACATAATGCTTATCGAATAACATGCATAATTGATCATACATAATTGGTTCGTTGAAACTCACCAAGAATGACACCAGAACTTGCTTTAGATCCAGCTTTGGAGAGATGAATTGTGAACGAACTATACGCCAAACCATATCCAGCGCTGTGAAGCATGTCTATTGCAAGAACATACCAATATATCCGAGAAAGAGACAGAGCTAAGAATGCCACTCCAAAAAGAAGAAACGAAATAACTATTGTACTAAGTTCACCAATTGCTTTAATCACGTAGCATGATATATATATAAAAACAGCTAAAAATGGCCTCCGAACCAAAGCAGCTCCTCCCATAATTAATGGACTGGCCTGCAGTCCATCTAAATACCAAAATTCCCAGAATATTTGAAATGCGACACAAGCACCAAGATAAAATATCATGAAAAACATGAATATATAGTGACTGTTAAAAACAACCAACTTGACTTCTGTCCAGTCAATAGTGCGATCAGATTCGTATTTAAATTCAAAAAAAGGAATCGATAACATTGATAATGTTATGAAAACTGCTGCCACAATAAAACTGATATGAAATCCATATCCTTCTCGACCACATATTGTTATTTTTATTGACCAGGCAAGTATGGCGGAAATTCCAATAAAGGAACTTGTTCCAAAATGTTTCCACATGTAATACGCGCCGTATCTCGTCCGCTCATTATCCAGGTAGGTTATTGTAGCAAGACTGGCCAATGGAAACGCCACGCCTTCGAGAAATGTGATTATTGATCTTGATAAAGTCATTACCAAAAGTAGAGTACTAGTCCAAGGTACGGAATACTCTGTAAAAATATTTATATCAATTAATGAATGGATGAATGGGTGAAAGGATGCTCAAATAAAAGATTATTCGTTTCGTTTAAGTATGGCTTACATTGCTGGGACTAGCACTGAAGCTAGAATTCCTTATGTCTCAGTGTAATCTACGTAATGTTTACAACACGAGCGGCTGTGTTGTATTCAATATACTTGTGAAATGAATTTGTAATTAATAATATTGGAATATAAATGAAAATCAACCAACGGATCGCGGCTGTTGCTGATGATGCACATAATTATTTGTATATCCATCTTGTGCATGATCAATTTCTTTTTAGAACGTATTTACAGTCAGTTAACATGAATTAAATAAATGAATATTTGTCCCCTCTCTCCAAAAATTATTGTGCTTCCTACGCCACTTTGTTTCAAAGCAAAAGAGTTCTCAAATGATACTTGCCGTATAAGGGATTTTATTATATACAAACGCAGGATATGAGCTAGGTAGTGTAATCTGTTAGGTTCTCTACTAGACAGATACTATAGTTCACATCTGTCTAGTAGAGAAACGCCAACAAAATGGTGGCAAGATTTCTCAAAAGTATACACCAAATTTAAAAGTACAGCTAAGTGCACCAAAAGGGCGACCAACTTTGGAGCAACACGTATTCAACGTTAGGTTAAAAACTATAAGTCTACAAAATATATTGTTTTGTTTCCGTAAAATCCGTTTTTTTGTATTAAAACGTTCAAAAAAACACGGCACGGGATTTAATTATTCAGTTTTAATCTATTGTTCAAATTACGAGTAAATTTGAAAGTTGTTTCTTTCAAGTTTTTATCAATAATAAACCAGTTATTATGTTCACTATCGTCGCATATGATTAATTGCTAACTCGGCGCTGCGTGCGTCGACGGCTATGACTCCACTTAATTTAAATATACGGTGAATAAAGCAAAAACAAACTATGGCCGACAATCTTGCTCATGAGTGATGAAGAAGAACTTAAAACAGGTTTTTTAAGTTCTCTTCCGAAAGAACAGAAGGCTTTTTGTTCATGAAAACGGTTTTTTGAATTTAATTTAACGCTTAAACACTCAGGGAAGGATTGACTGAAATCATAGGCAGCTCAAATATGCGTGATAATTTTGAACACGAGAAATTTTTCGGCAATTTCTCAACATGTTGTAATAATGAATAGTATTATACAAGATTGGTTCTATCTTGATTCTGATCGACGAAAAGCCAACCTACAGATAATTTTCACTGTCTTTCCACTTACAGCGAAGCTTGGATCTTCAATGCAGCAATCAATGAACTTAGATTTTATATTAAAAGTGTCAGTTAGAGATATTGAGATTGAAATTTCGAGCTCATTCTACGAATTATTTGTGAACAAAAGAAGAACATAAAGTCTCTAAGTGGAACGTAAAAAAAGAGCTTCCTACCCTATGTAATTATACATTATTACACCATGTTGACAAATTGCCGAAAAGTTTCTCGCGTTCAAAATATCGAGTATATTTGGGCTTCCTATGCTGAAATTAAATCAATAGCCAATCTAGGTAAATTTTTTACGCAAATTTATTTCCCTCATAAAATGATATTAATGGTAGCTATATTACACTGAGTGGACTATCAGCCATATACGACGTGAGCGAGTGGTATAATAAATATACACTTTCGGTTGATTAATAATACAACTGATTGGGCACCCGTCAGTTGCCGATCCGAAATGATATTTGTTGAAATTTTAAAACAAATTTGTGTTTGAAGTATTAGTTGCCCCACAATACCTGAATGGGAGCTGTTGTACTGACCACACCAAAAATACTAAATTAATATAATCTACAGTATATATAATCTATATATAAATAGTAATATACCATCGGCACATGCATGACCTAACATTCATCTTAGTCACATGGTTTTCCGGGCAAAATGATCCCGGTGTGCTTTAGAACTGTGCTTCTTATACATGGCTTTTGCTTGTTAGCAAATACTTCGCTCCTTAATCTCTTTCAATTAAAATTAAACCCGAAACCTAACCATTTGACAGCTGGCAGTTTGAAAGAAACCAAAATAGTTGCACCTTGTGGTTGTACTAACGGCCTCAAGCTCGGATCAAACAAGTACAGTCGAGTTTTAGCCCACGCAGTTTCGAGAATAATTAAAATGCTTTCACGAAATAATGCTCCCACCGAAAAAAACCATGACCATGGAATTTCTAATCTTTAATCTGTCCCGAAAAAACTATTATATGTACGAAACGCAGCCCGCACATTATATAAATTTTACCGCCACTCGACTGTGAATCTCAAAATATAATTATTGCCCACCTACCTGATTCATCGGCTCCTGGCTTTGTTGGAAAACATGTTGGCAGCGGCACCACGAGTGGCAACAGCAACAGAAGGCAAGCAAGAACAGAAAGGGCTGAGACGATCCACATTACCAAACTTCTCGCTCTATATTTGTCGCCCAAGTAGAGAACAAGTGGTATAAACACATGCTGAACGCCCAATATATTAGTTACCCCAATTTGCTTTGAGCTCAGCCCGAGTTGTTTCATAAATATATTGCAAAATTCACTATAAACCGTGAAACTACTTGAGCTGAAGAAATACCACTTGAGAGCGATGGATTTCATTTTGAAACCTGCCATTTTCATGGCACCACCGCGCTACGGCTCGAAGTGCCACTGCTAACGTTTCTTTTATTTACCCTTCAATTGAGTGAACACATCAAAATAAACATCTATTGTCGCTGTGAGAGTAAAGCGACTTCAAATAACTGATGAGGGAGCACTTTAAACAACTGACGAAAAATTGAATATACATATCAAAATTCGAATTCAAGTACGCCAATATCTCACTAATGCCATAATTTCCATACAATCTATCTCTCACCCAACTCTACAATAAGCAGTGTAACATTAAGCTATTTCAAAGCAATGCCTTTGTGTCTAAAACCGTATCTATACAAGTACGTTGTTTTTGTTATGGAATAGCCAGATTACAAACAACCTTCTCTTAAAAATATTGCTTTCAAATATTTTCTCTATTAATTTATTGGTTCATATAACGGTGGGGTGTTCTGTTAGAGCTTTCCATAAAATAGCTTAGCTTTATTTCGCTGTTTGAATTATATGAAAAGAACTTTTGTCTTAAGGTTTAGTTTTTTGTTTTTTGTTGAAACTTGTTAAAACGGGCCATTTCTAAACAATCAAATTCACAACAGGTTTCCCACACGGTTGATTATTTTTAAATACAAACAACTTTGCAACAAGCTATTTAACAATTATATAATTCATAACAAAGCTATTGTTATATTGATGTTGTTATTTTTTAGAACGGCTGCTTGAACAACAAAGGACACACGATTTGGCACAATATTTGAGACAATATCGCGCAACTAAACTCGGATCTCTAGCAGGGATCGAATTAACTTTGGAGAAGTGTCTCATCATCAAGCAACATGCAGATGACGTTGTTATAACGAGTAATGAAGTTTATAAAAATCCCTTACCAACGTTTTTCATCCCGTCGAACCAGAACGATATTATGCTGACTTGCAATATTCAGACTCCAAAACTACCGAAAAACGCCAGAAAACGACGCAAAACACCGGAAGCACTTTTTAATTACGCTTTTTCAAATACGAAGCAACAAACATGATAATCTGGTAACCAGACTTTAAGAATAAATAAAAGATTTTAAACAGTGTTCATTTGCAAAGTGTACATGTTTTGTGAACATTTCCTACGTATTTAAATTATTGTCCCAAGTTAATCACAGCAACTTCTATAATTGATATAAACGCCGGATGAAAATAAATTCCTTATATATAAGCGGCCCAATAGCAAAAAAACGTAAATGTCAAAGTCGACCGATCTGGAAATAGTGTCCATAATTATATAGGCGCGTCCCGGCAATGATTTGTCATCTTCGCGTCCTCTTTAACGTTCACGTCCTCGTTCTAAAACAGCTAGGATGTTCTACACGAGGGATGACATTGTCTTTTGAAAGCACAATCACATTTATATTCATTTTGTTCTTCAGAAATTTAGTTTATTTTTTTATCGCAGCTATTGGGCACAACGAAATTTCTAACCCATGCACCTCTGGAAGATAAGGCTTATAATGTACGACATTAGGAAAACTGTCAGATTACTTCAACTATGATTAGTGAATAGGATTAGTAGAACGTCACCGGCAGAATGGAACTTTTCCCCGCATATAAATCGACCCGAGCTGTATATAGGTGAATATATGCCACTTCATTTTAAACTGATTATCACGATCAGCGATAATCGTGAAATTCGGCGAGATCTGTTGATCCATTTTACCTGGATTATTGTTCCTTATAAGGAAGATCTTCATCGGCTAAAACCATCCAGGCATGCAGGCATGCGCGTTTCTAGCTTCTTAGCGAATGTTCACGCGATTCCACGATTCTAGGTATGTTTGTTTTTTTATGAAAAGTGTACATTGTGGATTAAATGATAAGGCCGACGGAAGCATGCAGTCATGAGACAGTTGAGAGCTACAGTATTCCTATTTTCTAGTTTTCGAGCACGTTTATTATGTGACACCAGGAAAGATGTTAACGGCCAACGTTTATACTGTTAGACTGCATAATTATATACTGTTAGAACACGGCACGTGCTATAAATCACTTCGTATTGAAATAACTTAATTGTATTTAAATAATTTGTAATGAAATAACTTCATTATTTGTATCAAGAATGATGTTACTGCATGGAGCTGGTTTTACGTATGATTCAGATTTTAGTCTGAAAAAAGTTAGCGGCCTCGAAGTGAACTTTTTTTAAGCTCGAATTGGACTTTTAAGAGTACCGAGCAAGTGATGGTCCTATCTCTTAAAAGGTTGTTGACTCTTAATTACTACTTCAATTTCCTCTTAATTGGAGTCCCTCCATACCACCAAATTCAAAGACTCCAAAGAGTTTTAAATGCTGCACCAAGGCTTGTTTCCCAAAGTTCAAGATTCTTCCATAACACCCATTTTAATCAAACTATACTGGCTTCCTGTCAAGTTTCGAAACGATTTGAAAATTGCTATACTGGTCTATAATGGTGGTGCTCCTAGTTATATCACGGCGCTACTGACATTAAAATCGCCCAGCAAATACGATCTAAAATCAGACGACCAAAACCTCCTTTAAGTTGTTGTTACTAAACTGAAGACTGTTGGAGACAGAGCTTTTATGTAGGCCGCTCCTCGAATATGGAATACTTCGCCATTAGAAATCAGACAAAGTGAAAACATCAGTAATTTCAAAAAACAATTAAAAACATTCCTTTTAAAAAACGCTTTTAATCTTCAGAAGAATAGTATAGTTTTTCTTAGTAGAAATATTTAGAATATAGATTAATGACACTGTGCAGCGCTTTGAATATTTATATAATCACGTGCAAGCACTATATTTAAATAGTAAATAATTATAAAATATTAAACACTTGGGAATGTCTCCAATTACTGGAAAACAGACCTCCAGCCCTGTTATGACCAGTATCACATGCACTCCCAAATTCCTGGACACTCGGCTAACTTTGACCAATTCAAAATCCGCTTAAAATTAACTTCCTAGCTCTTACGAATCGCCACTATATATCTAATGTTATTTTATTACTTTTAGTTGTTGAAATTGTCCTTTAGTATGGCTTTTCAAAAAGCACTATGTTGGGCTTTAATGTTTATTATTTTCCGAATACGCTACTTTTAATGTCGGTGAAACTATATGGTCATTTCCCATATATAAAATATATAAGATCCGGCTTCAACAGCCGAACTTTTTAAGCGTTTTTAACCAATTATTAAGTTATCTATTTTTTATTTATTATTAAGTTTACATGCATATGACTAGGATAAAATTTCATCTCACCAAAATAAACAGGCATATTCCTTTCTTTCTTTTATTCATATCCTGTACTTTTCACATTCTCTTTTTATAGAAGGGTGAGATGAAATTCTATCCTAGCTTGGCTCGATCAGACAGTCAAGAGTCGTCAATGAAAAGCATATTCGAAATATATTCAACCACTAATCGCTGTTTTTTTTTAGATAAACCCTACTTATCACACGCGGTGCCAGACAAAAACTCAAAATTACTTATCAGCGCTTTCCATGACGCCATTTTCATCGACAGTTTTATATTTTCCTTTAATAGATCAGTCTTCATCTCCGTCTTTAGGTATTCATTCATACTGATTTACCTTGACTGAAAAATTAGTGTACAGCAGAAATACAAGGAGCACGAGACAAGTCATCCCAGAATAAATAAGTAGTGTATTTCCTGTTCCAATTGCATGAAAAAGTATTCCAAACATCGTTGCACCACAATCGAGTCCAAACATGAAGAACATTTCTAACAATCCTGCAATTAAGTAGAGGGAATTGAACTTCAAAGTCTTAAATTGATTGGCGATATATCAATGTTCATTTTTTGTAAACTTACAATTGTTCGATTTGGACCACGCGTAAGTGAATTTTATATATACCAACACTGCCACGGCAGTGCCGTTATAAAATATATTATTATATTCATTTTGAAATCAATGTTGTTTCTTGCAATCTGATTGGTTAAAAATAATGTGATTAATTCCCAAATTACACTATTTTTGAGCATTAATCACATCATTTATAACCCAATAAGATTGAAGCTCTTCACCACAATAACCAATCAGATTAAGTATTTCAGTGTAACTATCCAATCAAATTACAGGGGAAAAAATGGCACAAATATTTATTATTATGAATTTTTAAATGCTCCGAAAATTACTCGCCTTTTACACCGTTCATGGTTCTTTCAGTCCATAAATCATTTTGAATTTGTTTAATTTTTTGTATGACTTCAAAATGAATATAATAAAGTGGAAATTGCACTTTGTGGCGTCCAATTTTGGTGTGAAATCAAACTTGGGATTACAAATCACACTCCCACTTAACGGTCGTGCGATTTTGTAATTACGCGTTTGATTTCACACCAAATTGCACTCCACTCAGAACAATTACCATTATTTACGACACTGTCAAAATGTCGGTAAATTATAATTACGGAAACAAATAAAACATTTGCCAAGCTTAACGACGACGAAATTGAGAAAATTTTACATGAGTCCACGCCTAAGAATACGAAACGAGCAACTGCATGAGGTGTATCCGTATTTTGAGGTAAGCAAGTGTTATTTATGTCTTTATGTGTATTTATAAAAATCTTTATGTGTTTACTCCAAATAAATATGAATAAAAGCATTAAAGCACCTTTTATGTTCGTGCTTTATCGGTAAACAAGCAACTCGAAGTTCAATACTGTATTTCTACTATTGAACTTTTTGTTCCTTGTTTATGAAGTAGTCCATGTAAAACCCGATAACGTGCTCCAATCCTTAAGTGCTTTAATCCTTAATTGTTACATACTGTATATTATAGAAACTGCAAACAACTGCCATCTGAACTGCCGGCATGCATTTTAACTGGAAAAATAACAAAGGCACAGAAAATATCATTATTCGCTAGCCAATTAGATAAACCTAAAAAACTTTAATACTAAACTGATACTATAAATACAAAAATAAATAATCAATATACTAATAAACTTTACTAAAAAAATATTTAAATAAACTTTGATGTAAACTTACAGCTCTTCGTAAACACTTACCAAGAATGACACCAGAACTTGCTTTAGATCCAGCTTTAGAGAGATGCACTGTGAACGAACTATACGCCAAACCATATCCAGCGCTGTGAAGCATGTCTATTGCAAGAACATACCAATATATCCGAGAAAGAGACAGAGCTAAGAATGCCACTC